CTTTTGAGGGGTCAGTGGTGTTGACATATACGACCTGTGCTCTGGGGGTACGACACTCGGCCTCCTCCCTAACTCTGACCCCGTGCTCGAACGCCAACGAAGCCGTGTTTTCCACTGAAGTCCGTCGTGAAGCATTAATTGTGTTTTCACTCAATTTATTTAAATATAAAATCATTAAAACTATATAAAAATTCACTAAATAGTTGCCAAATAATTTGGTGAATATATTCCGCACAAACAAAGCCATTGTTGATGTAAATTACTATTGAGTTAACACTTAATAAACTTTCTGTAAAGGAATAAAATATTAAGTTAACCAATGCTATTTATGATATAATATTATTTTACAACATAATAGCGTAAGATTTTGAATAATAAATCTTAGAAAGCGACTCACTGGTTTGAATTTGAATAATTTCTCACAAATCAGTGAAATTTTAATTAATTTAAATAATAACTTAACAATTAATACAAATAAAACAAGAGTTAAAGAATTATAAGTGAAATTATTTAATTAAATGTTTAAACTTTGATTAGATTGAGTAATAAATTGGATGTGTACTTGGCTTTTGTGAGAATTTCATAACACATACCAAATATGAGTAAATTTATGGCAATTTATTCAGAAGCAAAAGTTTGTCCGTCAGAGCTGTACTTGTCGTCCAATTCTCTGTTCACTTGTGAAGCAAAAAACAAGTGAACTCTTATGTGACCTTATTTTGAAATTTTGTCTTAACTCACAAAATCTCAATTCTGAGCTTCTTTTTTATAACTGGTCCACAATTTGTTTCTAACACTAGATTTATTGAGTAGCCAATCACCCCTCCCTGTCCTCCTCTAAATTTAATTGCATTTATTCAACAGAATTTGTGATAATTTTTCCAAAATATTGATTCATGGCTTACAATTTAACTAATTAATTCTCGGCTCTTTATTGGATTTGATGTTTTCCTAAACAAATAGACAAATTGTAAACAATTTTTTAATGTTTGGATTTAATATAAAACACACTGTATAACACAAATCGCTTTTAAATTTAAGTTATATGTTATAAATGTTGTTATAAAACTTATAACTATTTATGTATTTAATTGCATTCATTATTCAAAGTATAAAATTGGAAAAGATGGTATGAATTATTGGTTAACTATTAGGTTAGACCACACATGGACTTTAAAATTTCCAGAATTGCTTTTATTTATGAATAGACTTCTTTGATCTAATTTTATTATTTATTGCAATCCATATATTTTTCTAAATATTTATCGTTTTTTTGTCGTCTATTTAATATGATATACGATATGTGTTCGGACATAAGATTTATATCATAAATACCATCAAAACAGTGATATATTCCTATAGCTTTAAAAAGTATCTATTGATTAGTAAAATCTTTACACAATAGTATTAAATAGTCTGTAGTATAGTCTGCATGCGATACCAATCAGAAACCATCCTGACCTCAAGGCTCAAAGTCCTGAAAACTTGATAAATATTAGATCTAATAAACTGGCGATCATTCAGTGTTTAATTTACAGTAAACTTACATATTTTACATCAAGACCCTATAAAAATGTTATTTTTAATTGAAATTTTTAATATAAAATCTCGTATGAATAAATTAATTTTTGAAAATTGCAATTAGGGATAGTCTAAAATTATCCAATTTGCATTTCAAGATAGAATACAAAATGATTTGCATTTGTATAAAAGGTTAAGGATTAGTATATTTTTAATATTTTTGTTTTTACAAAATAAAAATTTAAATAAGAAATGTAATAATAAATTAAGCAGTGATAAATAGTAAAATAAAGTCACTTTTAAATACAGCTTAATTTAAATAATTATACTTATTTTTGTAAATATTTTTACTAAATATAAAACTCATTTAAATATATTTATTTTAATCATATGTAAGCTACTAGATATAAACCTGATAATAAAAACAATTGATAATCAATAATTGATAATTAAATATTATTTTAAATACTAAACTTATGAATCATAATATTAATAATAGAAAAATCTGTTAATAAAAGCTACAATTTTTATATTGCTTAATAAAAAATTGAATTAAAATGTTTAAATAATGAGATAATGAGTACTTTTTAATATTGTAAATTTAAAAGACATAAATCACCTGGGTGACCCAAAAATTGTAATAAGGGTACAATATTTTTGGATAAACGAGAAGGCCATCGTCACAAGTTAGATGATAGCATCCAGGTTATGACAGTGAAACTTTGTGAGATTGTCATCTTTAATTTAAAGCATACTGTAGATCATTAAGATCTGTCAGCCAGATTAAATGAATGTCAATTTTGTACACATTTGTCCTAAAATCAATCAATACAACAATCAAACAAAAATAGAAATAATAGTTTTCATTGAATTCAATGAAATTGTTCACAGATTCCTGAGGTTCTCATGAGTATTATTAACAGTATTTCTAAATTATGAAATTGATTTTAAAGTTAGTGTAAAATCTTCATAATAGGTATATCACTGGTATAGTATTTAAAAATTACTGTACAATACCTTTGTCTTCTGTATTGCAAAATACTGTATTGTATTACTTGTTGGTTCATCAAGGTGACTTTTATCTTATTATCCCTTTCATTTTTACCATGTTCCATTATTGGACTAGAAACGGAAGCATTCTTTTTAATAACAAAATACAGTTACAGTACTGTATATGGTTTTTAATAAAAATAAGTTGCAAGTTGAATGAATTGACAAATATTTTATTTTAAATTTAGCTAAAATATACTTTTCGGTCAAAATATATACGTTTTAAATATATAATCAAATATTGAATGTATTAAAATGATGACTAAAAATATAGTTATATAATAATAAAAATTACATTTACGGTAATATGATTTATAAAATATATTAATTAATACGATTAATTGGAAATACCGGTGATTACTCTTAAAAATAGACATGTGTTGACTAAATATGACTTGAAAATAAATAAAAGTTCTGATGATTAGTTGCATAATGTGTTAATTTAATTGAAGAAACTTCTTGTCAGTATTGGGACTCAGTTTATGGCGAAAATTCATAGAGGAAGGGGTGATGACGGACGGGGTGTTGAGCACTGGTGTGAGACCAGTGCCGCTCTCAGCAAATGCCTCGAGGATGAGGCCGGTGGACGGCGTCTGAATGGGTATTCCCGTGTCGGACATGGGGTCGGTGTTCATGAAGGGCAGTGGCAATGAGGTGGGCCTCGACTTGGCCGATGCGCTCATCGCTATGACCGACCCGTTGCTCACCACTGGCTTCACGTCCATCTCATGGGCTTTCGATGCATTCATTTTGCAATTCATTTTATGTGTCGACAGAATGTACTCCAACTCCTCCTTCTGTTTGCGGAGCTCTTCCACTTCATTCAGCAGTGACTGTCTCTTCTCCTCCAAGCCGTCCGTCTCTATCAACAGAGTGTTCGTGTGATCCATACGCCGCTTACGACAGCGCGCGGCCGCCTGTTTGTTGCGTTCCCGGCGCTGGTGTCGCTTCTTCTCCTCCTCGGGAGTCAACTATTGGTTAGAAATTGAGTTCAAATGTGTCGCATAGACAACAAATCAATAGCAAATGCATCCACTCTTTCAATACCTTATCGTTTCTCATGGGTTTCCGCCCACTCTTTGCGCGACCCTTTGGCGACGCTTTTGTCTGTTTGTTGTAATCGCTGCCACTATTGGCCGAAGAGTTGTTGCGGTCGACGTATGCATNCCACTCTTTCAATACCTTATCGTTTCTCATGGGTTTCCGCCCACTCTTTGCGCGACCCTTTGGCGACGCTTTTGTCTGTTTGTTGTAATCGCTGCCACTATTGGCCGAAGAGTTGTTGCGGTCGACGTATGCATTCCATTGAGACTCCGATCGTGAAGAGCTGTCGTCATTGGACTCATAGTCTGATCCCATGTCCAGATCACTAGCATTACTGTTGCTGTTATTACTGCTGGTGTTTAAGTCATTGCTTAGGTTATAGTTTGAATGAATGGACGCATAATTGGCCGGAATGTTGACCAAAGGCGGCACAAAGCGGGCCTCTTGTGGATGGCCAGCACTGACGCCTCCTTATTAGAGGTATTTCCTGAGGAGCTACAAGAACTCACACCAACCGCAGTTTCACCGGCAGCAAACCCAGTCTGGAGGCTACAAGCGTTTGATAACCTGTGTTTTCACTAGGATGTTTATGATATTCATATTAAGTATATGTTGACAACTTTGCTCTTCAAGTGAATCTCGTGTCACTGAAACCTAATTTAAAGCTAATATTTATGACTTAAATATTATAATTTGTCGCAAACGAGGAAAAAGTGTTCACTGTATGAGTGAAACCGATTCCTCACGTATCCTAAGATGTGATGAAATATTTGCAACAAATACTCAAAACTTATAAAAATATCATTCATTTGAATGAATGGCAAAGCAATAGATAAGAGAAAGTTTTCACACATAGACTAAACACATAGATATGGTCTCAAAGTAGTGCTATTTTTTTGCTATCGTTTCGATAGAGATATGGCATAAGTATTGCACATAATGTTCACAAATGAATGCATTGTTTGCATTGGCTTTCAATGAAAGCAAACATGACTTACGCTTTCGTTGGTTGTTGTGGTCGAAGGCATTGAATAACTATTTGTTGTGATATGAGTATCAATACTATTGCCAACAATATTACGATTATTATTAGTATCAGTATTACTATTACTTGTAATCACTTGTGGTTTAGACGCATACGAATCCATTCAATGTCTAATACATTGGATAGAAATGTGTGAACACATACAATACTATAAATGATATTACGATTATTATTAGTATTGGTATTACTATTACTTGTAATCACTTGTGGTTTAGACGCATACGAATCCATTCAATGTCTAATACATTGGATAGAAATGTGTGAACACATACAATACTATAAATGTGCAGGCTAATTGCTGATTGATTGGTGAATTAAGTGAAAAATATGAAAAATACGATCACTTTAATGACAATTAAAAGTATAAAACATATAAAAGTGTTGAGTATTGGACGCAATGAAAGCTCTGAATGTATTACTCATTGAATGACTCATTGCTAGAAATGGTGTCAAAAGTGAAGGAAAAGCCCCACAAAAGGCATGACATCATTGTATTGCAAGAGTGGGCGGTAGTCGTCCCATACTAGCGCTCCCATTGGCTGTCAGTAGAGCAGCCGTTCATAACAACTGTGATATCATAAGACTTTTTTGATATTGAAGTCATTTCCGTTGATTTTGCACTCGTTTTTAGTTGTAGTTTAGATTAGGTTTCAATTTATCATTCATTCAATTGCTTTACGAATAAATATTCACTGAATTTCATTGAATGAAATTCTTTGTGTTATCCAATACTAAACAATCAGTTACTGTTATTAATCAATTTTATATATAATAATTTAGCTAACTATTTTTGTAAGTATAGCGTTTCAGATAAAGATTTTGTATTAATTTTCTCTACTTGTAATTATTATAATATCATAATATGACATATCATGTTTGTTAATATTACATAAATATTATTCCGAAGTATCATATGCTAAACATTTGGACAATTTGATGACATGTTTATGAAATATTTATGTATTTGACAGTGAAATAGTTACTGTATTGAAAATGAGAAGTAACTTATTAGCATAATATGATATTATGATATAGTGCATAGGAATTAGCCATACATGAAAATACAGAATTGCTATTATATTATTACAGTGCTAAATTACTATTATAAATCAATAACATTATAAATTTGTTTAATATATTCTGAACATTAGATATTCAATATTGGTGATATTTTATTTACAATTCACCCTAATTATCTCTTATACTCGGTCATGTAATTATATTTATATCGATTGAATAGTAACTATTCTGAGTGTTATACAGATTCTGTATTCTTACAATAGTTGTCAGCAATACAGTATACGCTGTATACTATACAGTAATGTAGTCTAACTGTAATATACTTGACTTAAAAGCGTGTAAAATGTTTCCAAAACATTAAATCTCTATTTTGTGACTCGATTCTATATAATAATAGAGTACATCAAATATTATTGGCAATTGCACTCAAGGTATAAACTAATGTGAATACTAAATATCTAGAAAAGTTTTACTAATACCTGTATATCATAAGTTAATCAATTTACTATCCATTGATTGTTTATCTCGTGTCATAAATTTACAGTGTGGTTTATACTAAATATGAATATAGCATTTAATATGTAAATATATCTTTATAACTATTGTTTTGACTGTGAGACCGGTATATTTGGTGAATATCATATAAACTGAATGCACATTCTCGAAAATAAAATAAAAATCTGCAAAACAAAATCTCAAAAATAAAATCTACTTTATAACAATGAATATAATACCAAATTAATAAATAAATAGTCTGTAAAATGAGTTATGATAAATGAATATTGTACAAATTAATTGAATATTCTTGACTAATGTAACGTTTGTTGTGTATGATTTAGGCAATAATGTTATGTAAACATATTGACTGTGTTTTGCAATGTTTTAAATTGCAATCTTACGGTTAAATATGTGTGAAATGAG